TTCCCTGGCCAGGAAGGACTTGGCCACAAACTGTCATTGTGGGTTGCCACAGGATTCTGAGAATTTGAGGTAGATTTAGAGACCGCAAGGCATTTATCATCAAATATTTGATTTTTCCAGTTGGAGGATCCCTTCCTCTTGGCCAAAAAACTCTATTAAAGTTCAGGGCCTTGGGCTCATTCTAGAACATTCTGGCTTCTCGTTTGGGTTTTGGTGAAGTTTCCAAAGTTGAGGTTTTTCAAACAGTGGATAAAAACAATTCAAAGCAATTTAAAAAAAAGCAACTAGTTTTTTGACCAATACGAGATGCTGCAGTACAACCTATCCTTTCAGCCACGGCAGTTCTCTGGGAACGTGAGCACAGCCACACTTGAGATGTCCTCTGCAAGCACTCATAATTCCTGGACATGAGACCTGGTGTTTAACCAGCAAGGGAAGTATTCATTCATCACTCAGCTTTTATAAAAATGATGTAGAAATTACCTGATTTGCCTCATTGCATATGCACTGCTGGGATGCTAATTTGGGAGACATCATGATCAAAGCTATGTTAGCTGCATAAAACATCTAGAAGTGTCATGCTTTTTAAATAGTTTTCCTCTTTGGTTGTTGGCAGAGCTGGGTTGCATGGTGGTACCGCAGGGGCTGAATGTGACTGATCTCAGGAGCTAAGAGGTCCTAGAGGGACCCAGCAGGTGGGGGAACAAACAGAAGCCAACGCGCTTTGTCCGCAGCCACCAAGAGGCAGGAGCACTCCTCAGGCCTCTGCTCTAACTGCCAGTATCCCCACAGCCCTGGGGCTCGGGAACAGCTAGCTCCCCAAAAACCTCCTCGCAAGTAGGTGCCTCCGGAGGTGATACTCACGTAAGGTCCTTGGGGGCCTTGAGGCCCTTCTGGCCCCCCTTCACCTGGGAAGCCCTGAAAGACAAAGGCGAGAGAGACCCTTATCAGTTTGCACAGCGGTTCAATGTGAAAGCAAGGCAGAACCAACCCCCCCCCAGCACTTGTTGCAGAGACAGCAGTAGACAGGGGATGCAGTGGGAGCGCAGGAGAGCTGGAAGAGGCCCTCTGCTAGGAGTAGAAGGCTGGAAGAGATCAGGGAGGAGCGAGGCCTTCAGCGAGACAATGTCTTGCTCCAGGGCAGCGGTGGGGAGGCTGAATACGTCACAGGAGAGGGCCCAGCTTGGGAGATGGGGTAGCACGTTCAACAAAGTGCCTGGAACAGTTTTGAGGGAGATAATGCAAAATTGGCCCTTCCCTTTCTAGGCACGTGAACAAGCAGCGGTAATGGGGTTTCTCAACATGCTCCTAGCATATTTTTTAATCCTAACAAAAGGAAAATATGTCTATATCTCCGATATCTCAGAGTTGGAAAAGCCCCACCTCAAAGGCAAGAATTACAAAAATGTCACATGCCCAAAGGGGCAATTCCAGGTGCTGCTGCAGCCCGAGGGAGATCAGGGCCAGGGTGCCGGTGAGAGTCACGGCAGCAAGAAAAGGAACTATAGTAGAGGAACTATTAAATGTAAAGATGTCAATCTCTAGTCCCCGAAAACCCTGAACTACAAGTAGCTGGAGGACCTGGGGAAATGGTGTCCTTCCCTTGGCTGGGGAGCACCTCGAGCTGCCTGCTGGCGTCTTGGGGACAGGAGAGCTCCCACTGCCCGGTGCCAAAGAAGCCCTCGTCCTGGTGGGGACTGGGCCAGTGGTCTCTTGGCTCAGCCTCCAACAGGCACGCACTGCCACATCGGACAACGGGGTCGTGGGGGACACTCGGGTAGAGAGTGGGTCTGCCCGACGTGGTGCTGCCCGGGCACCACCGCCCAGCGAGAGAGGGACCCCATGCCCAGGGCAGGCTGTGAAACAGCAGCGCGGCGCTGGCCTACCTTGGGTCCCCGGGGGCCTCTCGGTGGCCTCTGGCCCGCCTTGCCTCGCTTGCCCTGGGCCACGCCAG